ACATCTTCGGAAATGCAAGTCTCCACAGCAATGGTTTCTTACTAGATTAATCGAAATCTCGCTTTTCTTCGTATCTACAATTTGCCTTAGTTTTTATTGTTTACCGATCCATAATTGATATTGCTAGCATTTTAGTGACGAAGTTGGTTGCATTAAAATAGTTGGCACCGGTGTGGGTCGTAGCCACCAGCCTTTCCTGGAGGACATAGTAGTGCCATATGGCTTATTCTTCATTATATGATTTGTATTCTCTTGTAACGATTGTAACTATTTAGGGCTCTAGCATGTCTTATAAAGGGAGAAATTTTCTTATGTCTATTGGGAACTCCGAACTGCATAACCTCTCCATACATCTCGCTATTTTTCGCACTCCTGAGATAGATTATACTTATATATATTAAGTACAGAATTGTGCTATTTATCGCCAGCCCATAATGTATTAATCTAGATGCCCTAGATATATTTATCGACATGTCGTTATCTTAATCATGCTTGGCTGGGAATCGACAATTTCTCGATCATTATTATATTTCTTTATAAGAAAATCATTTCTTTCTTTATCCTTCCACGTTTTGACAGGTTGGTATTGTTTCATCGGTGCTTAAAATGCGACGAATGGTGGTAATTGATGGCCTCAATGTAGATCTTATTTTAAACGAGAATATTGTTCAGCGCCGACCTTCCCCAATGAGTCTAGATCATCAGGAAGTTTCGCTCATTGACCCCAGCGATATGGAACCTTGTATAGCTGTGTGGCGATATACGGAATCTGGAAAGAGGATACGTATTTCAATGAGGACCGGCCGAGAGATCCCACTTCCTAAGGCTGCCAGAATCCTTGACGATCAGATCGACCCTTTGGCAACTAAGGTAGGCTTTAGTTTCGGTAGTGGCATAAGATATAACAAAGAAAGGAAACAATCTGGTAAAATATTTCGGTCGTAACCAGCATGACTCTGAGATAATCTTACTTATCTCTGACTCCTCGAATTACTAATCGCATATTTGTACACAAAATTTATCCTATTAACTTCGCAAATATTCGGAAATTTTATTTATATTACTAGATGAAGGGAGGCTGAGTTCCCAAGACTTCTTTAATAAATAAATGTCTTCGTACCTTCAATTTCCTCTGGAAAGACAGGTGGAAGGGATTTATAATTTGGCCTTGCCGGAAATCTAAAGATTACCTTGGAGCCATAATCGTGGATTTGTGCAAAGTCGAAACTGCAGTTAACTCTGGATGAGAACAACTTTTGGGAAAGCAAGGCTATGTGAAATACACTGGAAACGTCAGCTCTACTCATCATTGTGTTAAAATTCTACTGCCAGTCCTTCTTCACCTTAAACGGAATAGAATGAATACATCTCATATAATAATATAAAGTCCTTTGACATTTAATTTTATACGAAAAGCTGTGTAGAAAGGATTCATAAATAACTCTCATTAGAAACCTGAGCGATATTTGCTTGGAGTTTTGGCAATATCTGCGCATTACTCGGTGCACTATTGTCACGTGGCCCCGATGCATCCATACTGAGCCTTCATCTGTCGCGCAACGTAGCTAAGCACGATGGCCAGTTGCATCCTAATCTACCTCATGGCCCAACTGATATTTTAATAAAAGGTTTCGTTGTTTGATTGAATGCTTCATATTCCCATCTATATACTTTAAGATGAGTAAAGTGGTTGTGAATTTGATCTAATGACTACTGTTTATGTTTGGCATCGTTTTCGCAACTTGTTCGGAGCGACATGAAGGCCCTATGATGCTCAGCCAATTCTGCGCCCTTTGATAATTTCTAGCACTGGACCGTTGAGTTGGTACATTCCCGGGCATTTTGCCAACATCTTCACTGAAGACACAATCTTTAGCACAGTCACAGTCTATCAAAATGCCATGTCACTGACGACACTGATTGAGATAGCAGTGAAATGTCTTGGAATGTACCAAGTCATCGACCAATTTGTGAAAAATAGGTCAGACCAACGCTACACAGCTAAAAGAGACTATGAAAAAAACAAAGGCTACATTATCTTTCTCTTCATATCTATGACCTAATAGCTACTCTTTCTTTTCCTTCGACAGTTTCTCTTATGCTAAAATTGTCTTTCAAAATAAAAGACCGAATTACATGAAATTGATAAAATATCTCGAAAAATCCAACTTGTTAATAATGTACGAGCTAGGTATAGTTGCCAATCCGTTGGAAACCCATCAAATTATACCCAAATCGATAAATTAATGGGAACATATTTTTTAAAAATAAGAACAAGGCAGGCTAGAAACCTTTTGCAAAGCATGGAGATTTTTTATTTAAGAAGAAAATGAGTGAATCAGTAGAAATTATCAAAACTAATAGCATCCTGAATAGAAATAACGAGTGTAGGGTATTTCGCAAGTACCCCTCGTTGTGGGATGAGATTGAGTAAAGTTAACAGGGTAAATCTTCGAGTACGAGGAAGAGGCTTGCTCAGCTTTGAGTTCAACCGACTCGAGCAATTTATTCGTACAAGACATGTGCAAGCACAGCCTAGATTGCAGATGATCTAATTACAAGGTCAGACGTTTCTATCACATTCGCATTAAACCATATGCCTCATCAGGATATCAAAAATTAGCAATATTAGGCGTCCGACTTGCCAGCATTGCTAGTTTAATGTATGATGAATTTTAAGACATGGTTTTGGCCATTAGGATGCCTGTTACAGGATAGCCGATGAGAGGACCTAGTATAGATTCTTTGCAGTCATGGGGTATTACGCCGTGCACTTCTTTGTTTGTATCGAGTCACAGGTCTAAGGGAATCCTCGTGGCATGGTGCTAATTTACCACTCTCTTCTATCCATCTCTTAATTTAAATAAAGTTTATTTGAGTGATATCGCTGCCATTCTTTCATTGTCAGCTTTTTTATGCACGTATGTACATAAATATATATGGGCTTAGATATTTTTAATGTTCTACGCTGATTATAGTTTATTTTGGATTAGCCTGCCAACTCAGGTTAATTTATGATGCAGAAACTCGTCTCTGAAAAGCACTTAGTATACATTGAATCTATCCACTTTGTCTTATTCAAAATCACTTAATGACAGTAATTTCCATAAAAACTGGATTGAAATTGCCCAATCGTACCAAACGGTCTATCTATAGCTCTGAACCTTAGTAGATTAATGCCTTACGATGTTTTATATCACAAGTCTAATGTCTACCTTAACCCCTACTATACTCACGACACTAGATTTGTAAATCTATTACCCGAATTATCAGTCCAGATGCAAATGCGACTCTATTTTGATATTTCTACTTACAACCATCACGTCTTCACAGTGCTCGGTCCTTATAATTCAGAAATGGCCTGTGGCAAAAGTTTTATTCAGTTTTTTGTGGCGTCGTAAATTCTGAATCACTGGTATGCTTTGTTTTTCTCTTTTATTTGGGCTTATTTCGTCGTGAATTCCAGATTGTTGCATTTTTATCCTGAAATAAATCGTTTATTCACCAAGTCCTGAGCTACCAGCTTATCTCTAATAAGAACTAGTTACTCGAAGTCGTTTGAGCTGATGTAGGAAAGTCTACTCATAATATCCTCCATATCAGCTTAAACGACTTCGAGTAACTAGTTCTTATAAAAGATAAGCTGGTACTAATATATATACGAGTAGTTCTCAAAACTATCAAAATGATCTTGATTAGGAATTCGAGACAAAAGGGAGAGAAGGTCCAGTCTGGCTGAGAAAATGCTTTGAGACAATGCTGATTAAAATTCAATGGAACTGGGAAATTGGCATTGTATTGTCGGAGAGTCAACCCATAATATCCCCTACAATACAATGCAAATTTCGCAGTTCCATTGAATTTTAATCAGCATTGTCTCAAAGCATTTTCTCAGCCAGACTGGATCTTCTCTCCCTTTTGTCTTGAATTCCTAATCAAGATATTTTTGATAGTTTTGAGAACTACTCATTTATATAGTAGTATCGTCTAACTCAGTTACAATTTTGCCTCATCAAACACTTCCACTATGAAAATATTAATTTGTAAGTCTGACTTTCTATAAAATCATTTCTACTCCGCGACTGACATGTACGGCTGTGTTGCAGAATGGTAAATTCGCCACGACAGCCTATAATTTCCCTGAACCATCCGACGAGACAAATGTCTCGAAGAGGATCAGTTTTATTTATTGTTTTATAGACTGTCAATCAAAATTTCAACTCTTAAATCATATTTCTTCACAGGAGGGCGAAAAGGACACTACTGAGGCTGTGGTCACCGAAGTGACATATGATTCTTCCAATCAGGATATGCTACTATCTTTCGAAGAGTGTGTCTCAAAGGAAATGAATCTGGACCCACCTTTACGAAAGAGGGCGCCGACCTACTGGCAATAACCCTCTCAAAACTCATACGATGTGCTTCATTTAAGATGTAGTTTTTCCACAGATTGATCTATTTTCTAGGCTTCCATGATTTATTTTTTCTGTTTTGCCAACTTATTCGACTATTCTCTAAGGTAATGCGAAAGTGCTAAATTCGATTAGCGAAAACTGCAGCACACTACAATCACTAGTAATATACAACATGGTAATGTCGGAAACAATGAACCGCTAAACGCATTATGCCCTTTAGAGCAACTAATATTATTTCAATGGGCTATAGAAGCCCATCTGTACAGCCTACAGTATGCAGACGAAAAGTATGCTAGAATCGACATACGATGAAGACCTAATTGGGTAGTAGACGTGCTAGATACTAGTAAAACGTTATCACTTGAATTAAAACATCTAGTATAAAGTATATGCACCAATTTTGAGCGCCCTGATCATTAATTCTAACTAATAACTGTTTAGATTTAAAACAGCTCAGTATCTGTCGAAATTAGATTGTACACGATAATAGAAAAGGTAGAACGAGATCCGTATTTGTATGAATCACTCTCCTTGTACGTAATGTGCAGTTTTATGAAGAAATTCACAAGTTCTAAGTAGGACAGGTCAGATCGACAGATCCGAGTTTGTCATTAGCCCTTTGGGTAGAGAAGCGGTTCTATAGAATGTGTCGCCAACGATTCGACTATCTATTATGGGAAGCATTACATTCCCAAGATTGGCTGATCCAATATCGACCGCTGTATCTAAGTCCACTGGGTCAGTATGTGATGCCTGGCGCTCGAGATTGGCTAGTGTTTTTCGTATACGTAAGGCTGGCAATCGACTGCGCCAGTCTTCGTGCCAGCACTCCTGGATGAGTTGGGCGAAACGCGCCAATATTGGGTCAGACAGCCAACGGAAACTAATCGGTGGTCTCGAGATGTCGTTGTGACAAGCAGCTGTCGTAAGAGCTGGCAGTCGAGGTGTGAAGGATTTTTCTTGTTCCATAGCGGAGCACGCATGTGTGAATTGCAGCATATTGGGTTCGTTTTCTGAAGAGGGGGGGTTAGGTCGAGGATAATGAGCTGGACTTGGTTTCACATCACACGGAGCGACAATGCGTCGCATTTGGGCGAAGGTTGGATCAGGAGGCACGACATTCCAGAAGGGAATCTGATCAGTAAGAAAAAAAAATGGATTTGTGATAAAACTGGGTTCCTTTCGGGCTAGTTAAGTGTCTTCTTGGTTAAAAAGAATAACACTTTAAACAAAGATTATTTTGTAAACAGGCAAATAAGAAGTAAGACTTTTCGCAGTGCGAACCATAACTCCATCTAGTAACGAATCGAAACGGTATTAATCTATATTGAGAATGTGTGAGCTTCTGAGCTCTCATAACACAGTAAGATAATATATAGAAAAAGAGGAGCTTAAATCTTCTGGGAACAGTGGTTCGCATTTTCAACTTGTGAAGGACAAATCAACTCCCTATGATACTGGTGCTATGTACTAAATGATAAAATACGAAGCTTACGGTAATTTAAGCTGATGGGGCATGTTCATACCAGTGGTAATGCTAAAAGTATCAATCTTTGAAGCAGCCTGGTACCAAAGGTGCATGAGCTCACACTATGAAAGCCACGGCCATAATGCCGAGGAAGGATTAATCCGCTTGAAGCGTCACAAAAACACCAGTATTCAGCCTTAAAAAGCTGTTCTCTTTTAAGTGGCAGACTGCTTGAATAACTCAAATGCAGGTCGGTCTGAGCATTGAATTAGGAAGAGCAAGTGAGGTCAGAATAGGCTATACTTTCTTACGGACGTCTAGAATGCCATTGACTATCATCAGTCAAGGTTTTTACGTCGAACTTGAATGATCTAGCACGTTATTGGGTTAATGTGGGCTAAAAAACTAAGCTTACTTGATATTCCTCGGTTTGAGTTGCATCTGATGAGCCACCTTTTGTGCGTCTCGCGATCTCCCAAAACACTAATGCCATAGCGTACACATCAGCGGCCTGATAGACTTCAAAGGGCAAATGGTAGGAATGAGTCCTAGTAGGCAGAATGATCTCGCGAGCGGTGGCCCAGAGCTGTCCGCGCCGCGTATTATCGATCGCTGTAGGCACTGTAGGGTTTGTCATTACCGCAGCTACGTTAAGTGCATATCCATCGTTATCATCTTCTATGTCTTCGTCTCTCTCAGCCATTTCTGAATTGTTAGTCTGGCATTGCCGTTGCACCTGGAATATATAAAATATGTATACTGAGCTGTCGGCGAAGTGGTAATTAATGTGGATGATTTGCTCTTGAAATGTGTAGTTGATTGTCCGCATGATCGAATTCCTAGGCTTGCCAAGGTTATTATGAGACTAAATGATAATGCACTACTCACGGGTTTATTTACATCTGTGCAAATAGAGCGCACGTCTTTGACGTGCGAATTTTGGCTTGTTGAAGCAGCTGATCTAGGTGCGAGGAGCTCTGGCGCCATATAACGTTTGGTACCGACGCGGGGACCTGCAGGTGGTGGCCCCTGTGTCGAGGGTGCAGAATTAGCAGTCGCTGTTCCATCAAAGACCAGACCACCCATTAGGCCACCGCTAGATGCATTAGCCCCGGTACAAAGGTGACTAGTCCACGAGGCCAGACCGTTTCCGTTTAAGGGAATTGGCGAGCTACGCATTAGAGCAAGACCTAGATCAGCTAAGCAGCTCTCACCGTCCTCGCGCACCAGAATATTTTTTGATTTGATATCGCGATGAGCAATAGATGGCTTTGACTGCAACCCGGTTATTTCCGCGTGCAAAAAGGCTAATCCAGCTGCAGCCGATCGAGCTAATCGTAGTCCCTCTATGAGGCTAATTGAATTGGCCATTAGATAGTTGTGAAGGCAGCCTCGAGGGTGGTAGGCAGTGATAAGCCAGAGTTGGGTGCAGCCGTTTATGGAGATCATGTCACTAGCATAGTAAGCAAGCAAATTGGGATGCCGAAGAAGACCAGTATTGTAGACTTCTGTTTCTCGAGCCCAACTAGCTTCATCGCGGCTAGAAAATATTTTAACCGCCACAATCTCGTCCTGGTAATTTGCACGCCAAACTTCCCCAAAACGACCCTTCCCTATGCAAGACAGTATACGAACTTGCCTTGCAATGGTTGAATGAACCAAAAAAGGCACTCCACTACCGCTCCCACTCCCAGTAGTGCATCCGATGAAATCGTATGGAGAATGTGTAAACCTAGAAGAATAGGTGAAGGTCCGGTCCATTGGATGATTCGCCCAGCGCTTTGCACGAAGCTGAGTCTGAGTGGCGTAGTTTGAAGGGGAATCCTCCTGAGTTCTGAACAAATGAAGGCAGCCGCTAAAATTGTCAGTTTGATAGCTCTTGAAGCGATTAATTGGACAGATACCTGATATGATAGAGGGGGACTTACAAGTCCCGAATATTCCGTTATTGGTCCGCTCAGAAGTTCGATTCGATATAGCATGTCTCCACAAAAAAGTAATCAACAAAAGACCAAGAATAAGCACAGAAAGGGGCAAAAAAACGGACAGCGATATCTGTCCAATACTCATTAACTTTAGGTCATAGAGAGCCCGGTGATAAATGGTAAATAAATTTTTGTTACAAAAATCGCCATCACCTAGCCCACAACATTTAAAGTCGCGATGCTTTGGCATGGAAGAACGGCAGTACAAGTCAACCTGGGCAGTATCGTTTGAAAAGCAGCCTTTTATTTCATACAAGACAAGGGTGTTTGTGTCGTCAAGGTCTAATGAGTGAAAGCATCCAGTTGAAGAGGTGCAAGTAGCAGATCCATGAGGACACTGAGTACTTGGAAAGCAGGCACAGATGATTGAAGGAGGCTTAATATATTCTGAAAAACCATGTCGTTCAGTCATCTTAACATTATTTAATGAAAATTGCTAGAAAATTCCCTTTCTTGAACAGGCGTGAAGTAATAAATTTAAAAACAAATAAAAGAGAAAGCTGCCGTCTCATTAATAATACAGAGGATTAAAAAATTATGAAAGACTGGAAAGGTTCACTTCAGAAATCAAAAACAAGTGAATTGTATCGAAGGGATAATATGAAGCAAAAGTTAAAGAATAAAAGAGGTGCTAATCATAACAAATTAAGAAGAAGTTAACTTGTAACGACATACTTGAAACCTCATATAAACAAATGTATTAATAATTAAAAGAACATATGCGAGACATGTTTACCAGGCCCGGGGCTGGAGCCGGTAGAAAAACGCGCATTTTTGCTATTAATTAAAACTAATTGAATACCATGATTAAAATAAATGTTTTAAATGCCTCGGACATTAATAGTGCTCTTTTTTTAAAATTATGTTTTACACTAAAAATTGTCCAATAATAGGGTTAACGAAGTTAATTTTAATAAGGCAATGAGGGTGTTGTGGCAAAAAAGAGTCCATCAACTACATAATATGAAAAGTGATTTTAAGCGAATCTATCTATACGCGAAATACATAAGAATATATCCTAAATATTATATAACATAAAAAATATATGCTATCCTAAAATTATTAGGGGGACCTTCATTTCGAATGAAAGTGCATGAAGAAGTGATTCGTTGGTCCATCTCACCAGGTGTGGACGGATCAGACTCGTTGTACTGTAGCCGTTTGGTTTTTATACGATATTCATGTTGACGCAGTCCGCGAGACGTCCTTGTTTCAAGTGAAAACGTGCTGAGCTTTCGTCCATCATATGATCCGTCCACACCTGGTGAGATGGACCAATGAATCACTTCTTCATGCACTTTCATTCGAAATGAAGGTCCCTCTAACAATGTCATCTCGGGAGCTTCATTGAAACTAAGTTTCTTTTCGTATCCTAAAATTAACCCATATTTTATGTGTAAAGAATAAAATTATAATACGAAGCTAACTTTACAGTGTTACCTATATCTTCTTATGATCATTTTTGAGAAATAAAATTGTGTTTAATTCTCTGAAAATCCAATATTATATCATTAATTCGAATGCAGTT